GTGAAGGATTTAAAGTCGTTGTCATCATGGCAATATGATAATTTTATTAAGAACATTTTTAAATGTCACTTGTCTTTTAATTACAAAACTATTAATTTTCCAAAAAATATATATGTTGGGTATATGTTATTGTACGATATTATGTCTACTATAAGCTTCAATTTAATGTAAAATTCAACCACAAACGCTCCGCAAAATGTTTTAAAATGTTCTTAAAACTAAACTACCTTTTATCGATAAACTTTGAGTTTGAAATTAAATGAAAACAATACATCAATATTTCAAACAAACTTACCTTCATTGGGTTTTACAATTTCCAGCAAACTGTTGACCCATTAATTTTTTAATTTTCTCAAAAGAAACCGCATAAAAGACTCAAAAACGTTGCAAAATCTTTTCCAAAGCAGATATATTAATAACTTACTGACCGAGAGTGAGGGCAGTACGGGAAAATATCCAACCGAGGTCTTGCCGTATTGACCGAGCGATAGCGAGGTCAATACAGCAAGACCGAGGTTGGATATTTTCACGTACTGCCCGAACAGTTGAGGTCAGTAAGTTTTTTTTATTATATGGCATTGTACGTTTGTAAAAAATGGGGAAAGGTCACGTGAGGGCAAATTAAGACAAAGTAAATGTACAAAGTCCGAAACATTTGCTAATAAAACAATTGTAAAAAAATGTTCAGTCTAAATTTAGTAAAACTAACTACAGCACTTTTTGTGGGTAGCCGCGCATGCGCAGCTAACCTCTATGTGAGAGACTGAAGCGCGATCTTCCGTTTCTCTGTGGCTCTGTGGCTCTGTGGCTCTGTGGCTCTGTGGCGCTGTGGCTCTGTGGCGCTGTAGCCTTCGTGTCCGCGGTGTCCTGCTGCGCGGTTCCTTTTATCCTTGAAATACGAACCGTCTATAGACCACAGGCTAAGTTCACTAACGCTCATACCGTACAGAGATGTGTATAAATTCTTAGTAAAGTCTTTATTGTAATATGTTTTGTCAGGTCGATAGTCATTTCCAACGCATATAGAATCGAATATGTCGTTTTTATAATCACTGCTTGTACAAGGGTCATTGGGGTTAATATTAGCGCAAGGGGTCTGTTTTATATCGTGTAATGTCATATTTAAACACGACATATCAGTTTGATCAAACATTTTATACGTATTAGAAAAATATAGCAATTAGTGATATAGCGCGCGACGTTTGGACATATTTACGTTAGTCTATATCGAAGGAATGTTGACGAATGACGAACATATAGGTATATAGAATCGAGTATGTCGTTGCTTACATAATGTTTGTAAGGCCACGTCATTGGAATCGGGTTAGTCGAATGTGTATTAAGGCAAATAGAAAGCCAAGCACGGTTTACCCAAGGATTAAATTAGGCAGTGGAATATTAGCGCTTTTTTACTTAGGGATATATTTGTCGAATATTGAAAGCAAATTGAATGTCATTACCAATATATATGAGATCGATTATGTCGTTGTTTAAATAATTCAATCATCACTGTACTAAATAAATATATGTTGATCTTTTTCAAACTCCGCCGGAAAACATCGTCCTTAGATCTTTGCATGGACTATCCTTGAAACTCAAACTTCACGAAAATTGTATATACGCAGCCTGTAAACCTGATGCTTTGTCTTTGATGTATGCTGTCCTTGAACAAGAACTGTTCTTGTACGTCTTAAGTGTTTTTCGTACTGTCTGTATTTCGGCGTGTGATGTATTTTGTTTCGTATACATATTAAAGACCTTGTACTGTTCTGTCTGTTCAGTGTGCAAATTATTTTTGACACATTAAAATACTTTGTAACTTCTTAAATCTGTTTATGCTTATTGAAAAATGCACGTAACAGTCGTTTACGTATTTTTGTCATATCTGATGTTCAGTATGTGATTAAATGTGTGTATAATATTTGAATTGTGTTCAATTTACTTAATACTTTCTTTCAGTAAATTCGGAATTTGACAATAGCAATTAAGTTATTAAGGTGGAGTAATATACTAATATGGGCAACAAAATTGCAGCAACTTGCAACAAAATCTGATTTCTGCGCATGTTAATTGAAATGTTTTGTCAACATTTCTACTTAAAATGCGTTGAAATCAGATTTTGTTGCAGAAATTTTGGCTGCAGCAATTTTGTTGCGCGTATTACTCCAACCTCGGTATTACTCCAACTTTAACAACAATTAATGCAGGCTACCCACATGTACGCAGCGCGTACCTATTTTTTGCACTAGGTTTTGACCACATTATGTAAGTGGTACGAAACTGTATAGTAATAAATTAAATTTTCCAAATAGTCATTGACAATGTGTCAGCCTTGAACAGCCAATCAAGTGTTGGGTACAAGGCATGAATGGTGCAATATCATAAACATGGGAAGTCTTAGTATTTATTTCTGATTCCAGTAATGCTACAATTAGTGTTTTTAAAGGGTTCTTTGAAATTTCCGATATACCGGAATAAATAATAGTAAGATCACCGTAATCAAGTACGGACTGACACTTTGATTATACGTTCTCACACATTATTAGATATTCATAGCATTTCGGCCAATGACATGGTGTAATTTACATCACGTGTATCTATCTGGATACCCCGTCTAGACCAGGACTTTAATTACTTCAAGTGGGAAGGGCTTTGAACAATAGGGAAATTGAGGGGTAAACAAAAGATTATACAAATATATTTAATTGCTATGTTTGGAATTATTTCTAAATACAGTAATGCCCGTTTTATAAGTCGAATTTTGGTCGCATCGAATGAAGCTTAATAAGATTTATCACCTCATTATCTATTGTCTTAATTGCAGTCGACGCGACCAAAATTCGACGTATAAAACGGGCCTAAGCTGTATTTAGAAATAACTTCTAAATACACAAAAAAACATTAAATCACACTTCAAACAACAAAATATTTTGCTTTATTAATCACACTAACAATAACACACATACAATTGACTTAGTATTACTTATTTCCGGCAAACGAAATGTTAAAAGAACAGTTAGCGAATGTACTGTTCGACAAAACAAACTTTTCTGCGATAGTACGTCGCTGCACCTCTTTATCAGTTTTAGACCAATCCACTTCACTCAAAAACTTATCAAGTTCCTAGTCGGAAATTTGAAACTTTTCGTCTTCCTTAGGCTTCGAGGGTGGCTTAAAACAGTTGTCAACAAGCGACACAATCTTTGATACAGATGGGCCAACATACTTGGATACAGTCATTGCTTGATCATTACTAGGCTTCTCATACGTAAATAAGGCAGAAGAAACATGCCCAGTTCGTTCACGTATTAATTTTTCTTGATGGCCAGCACAAAACAAATTTGTTGCTGTTGTGACACGAAGGCAGTGTGCTGTCTTAATCGCAAGGCCAGCTTCTTTCATTAAAAAAGGTACGATAGAATTAAGCTTATGAATACCAATTGGTGCATCTTCGAATTTATACGCTGTTTTGCTCGGTCAAAAATAGAATGATTCATTAATTTTCGGTACCTCGTTGACCAAGGAAATGTACTGCTTAAACATTTGAACCAGGCATGGTTCATGTACACTTTCCTCATCCTCGTGACAATAACGAGTCACAATTCTAGGTTTCTTCTTTAAATCTTTCAATCCTCCATGAAACGTTTTCGAAATATTTTCTCGATAACAAATTTTGTTGTTTTCTATGACAAAGTTGCTTAATCTTAACTGTCTGTGTTCACATGCTCTTAATCCGAATATTTTTCCAATATAGAAATAAATTGTGTAAACCAAACTTTGAGCAGTTTTGTCTTCCAGCAAGCCTTTTGACCACAGCAAACCTTCTTCATCACCTGTAACAGCTTCTTTCTCTCGTCTTGTACGATTCTCCGCAAGCGATTCGCCTTCCCGGTGGGTGGCTTTCATTTCACTATCCAGCAATCTTCTGAACGTCTGGAAACTGAGTAATACACATGCTCACATTACAATAAATTAAACTAAACCATTAATTAAAAATGAACAAATTCAACCTACCAGAGATTGTTAGATTTTAACATGTTAGCTTCAGCCCGGCCATTTTCGTCTAGATGTCGTTTCATATAATAACGAGCATATAATTTGGTATACTGTACACCCGGGATATGGCTTGCCATCCTTGTCGCAAACTTCTTGAACAAATTTGATAAGCCAGAAGTTTAACGTTCTTGCCGTCATTCAACACAATTCTGTCTCCAAATTTTGCAAATTCTGCAAATCTAAGCTGAAAGGATTGCTCTCACACATGACTGCTTTATTTTCTCGTCCACTTTGCCAATCTTCAAATATACGAACTCCCCAACGATTTTTATAACGCGTTGTTTGTGGAATGGCATTTCGGACGTTGTCAATGCTTCTTTCCACGCTTTGAGGATCTCAAAATCTCCTCTTTTTGCAACTAGATGCCATGCTTCCTTCGAAGGCGAACAAATACTACAACAACAAAGCAGGGTTGCCAGATAAATATAATAAGCCAAACATTGTTATAAGCGGCCCTTTGATGTCTTTGTCTCCAACAAAGAAAACAAAAGGTTATTATAATAATATTTGGCTTATTTATTCAGCAATCTGGCAACCCTGCAACAAAGTCTTTAATTCGTTCCTTCATTACGCATTCGCCTCATTGAACAACTTAATTTGCTATTGCTACTGCCTCATTGCTATGAATATCTAATGATGTGTGAGAAGCAGTTTCAAATCCTCGTTAGTGTTTTAAATTTGGCTTCCAAATCCCCAGTGCCATGAACAATGGCTCGGCTGCGCCTCGCTATTGTTCATGGCACTTGCATTTAGAAACCACGTCTAAAACACTAACTCGGATTTGAAATATTACATCTGACCTCTGAGTCCACCGTACCCTCTTCTCCGCGCAGTCAAGCAGTCAAAGCTTTTTAAATATTGACGGAATAAGTCCAGTGCGGTGGAAACTGCTAGATTTAAATCTGTTGAGAAGCTACAGCATAAATTACACTGTTAATATACGCATTTCAATTTGTTGAAATTATGCTTAGATTTTAATACCCGTGGCTCGTGTTGTTATCACAAACAGAAAAGACTTTCCTGAAAAGAATGGCTTAGGGGATTTTGAAATCAAGATTGGAAACAGTTTGGAGAACAAAGGACGAAATAACCCTAAATGTGGAGATCGACATTTAGTACCACCAGCAGAAACTAAAGAAATTTCCTGTGCACCACCATTGACTGGAAGATATCTTGTCATTCAATCATTTTCTTCTGAAATGTTAAACATCATTGAAGTTGAAGTATTTGCTGCAGGATTGTAAAGGGAAGAAGGAATTAAAGCAAATCGACACAATGAATATAAATTCAAGTCTCGCTGTTTATTTAGAATCAAAGGTTATATAATTACTTTAATATAAACCTACTAGTAGGCTATCACATATCGTACCTTCTGATTGGCTACGCTACTAGTAGGCTATTAGTGATAGCCTACTATTACAAAATTCAAAATGGCGGAAAATTCGCGTTTTGCACTTTTGCCGAAGTGTCTGATGATTTTTGGATGACTTGTTGAACAATTCTGTACTAAAATCCCCCGAAAAAAGCAACAAAAATATGGAATGGCAATTTTTAAGGGTAAGAAAATAGACAAAATAACATACACTCAATGAAATTTTAAAATTAGAACTGAATTTTGTAAAACATTTTTACGCGAACAGAAACTAAAATATTTGTTTACCTTTAATGGTTTTATAATGTTTCTTGTGTATTTTTGTATTGTGTTTGCAGCCTATAGTTGTAAATTAATGTTAAAATTTATACTAAAACAATTAGACAACTCGGCCTCGTTGTCTATGAGCAAATAGTCAACGAGGCTTCGCCTCGTTGACTATTCGCTTATAGACAACTCGACCTCGTTGTCTAATTGTTAAATATTCAGGGCTAAGAACATATTAACTGGAAGCGAGACTTGAATTGTCATCTAAAAACTGTAAAATTCAGCAGCCACATATCAACAGCACGAACCCAAGCCATTAGTCGCACAAATGGCACTCTTCACACGCACATGCAAGCAACGTTGTTGAGTTACTTATAGGAAGTAATGCATTTAGGATCAAAAACAGGAATATACAGGGACGTTGCGAGGTCGTGAATATTGGGGGGGGGGGGAGGTCCTGATATTTTGACCAAGTTTTGCTGAACATTTTGACCAACATTGGAAAGGTTTGATTTTATTAAATTCGTGAATGCTCGTGAGGTGAAACGTTGGTGCGAATCCAACAATGTGAATATTGCCTGATAATAGGCAAGTGTATAATTCTGTGTCTGACTGAAACATTAGTGAAGATTTTTGCCGAATATCATATTCTAAAAGAACAATTACACAAAGATGCAACGCTTAAGTCGAGCGCGTCGAAAATTACTTATATATACGCACGCTTAAAAGTGCTAAGCTGTTGAAGCCCAAAACACTTGCACAACTAATATGTTTCACCTTTCAAAAAGATCATTTTGGTTAAGCCAATGCATGGTTGTACGTAAAAAAGTAAAAAGAATTTCAAACTTGCAGGGTGTTATACCCCCCACCCCCAGACACGCACGCACCCCCACCCCAGTGGTAGCGGCGTCCCTGCGAATATACCGTATGTAGCTATAGAACGATGAAATTTGTAGACGAATTTAGCAGACCTGTGGAAGAAATTAAATGTAAACAGGAATTTGTCTATTGTAACAATTAACTGTTAATGGACATTCATGATTTTTTTCTTTAGTTACCGCATAAGATCTCTTAGCAATATCTTTAATTGTTAACGATCAAAGAGTGTGAGCTAGCTCTTTACTAGTTTTGAGTCCGCTGTTTAGTTCTGGTTTGTTAGATTTAATGAAAGTGTTTCCATTAATAAGAGACAGCTCTTGTTAATTGCTATACTGTACAGTGGCGTGCTGGCAGGGGGGCCAGGGGGCCACGCCCCCCCCAGCTAGCAATTCTTGCAGGGCGCAAAAATGAAATGGGGGCGCCGATCCCGCGACGAGTTTTGAAAGTGGGTGGGAAAAAACGCATTCGAGTGATATATTAAATTATACAGACTATTTTGTCCAACCGTATTTGCTAATTTGCTACCTCACGGCTGTGATCACACGCAATGTTTCATCACCGGAATATTGGTCGGGTTTCGAAGCGATCACGGGAATGGTATTATGCCCTTTATTCACGAATCACGAGAACGGCGCAAATTAGATAGTTTAAGTTATGATAATGTAAAGTTATGCACGCAATTTAGTTGTTTACGCTAGATACATCATGAGTAATGTGAGTAATGAAATAATGCTGAAACGCGCCCTTTTGGCAGCCAGGCAGGGAAACCTTAAAATGCATATGCGTGGGGTCCGTGTGTTATTGTATAAAAGTGCTGTATGTTCTAAATGTATTCAGATCACTAGATCAGTAGATAATAGAATTGGGATTAGATTAATCGCTGGAAGTTGTTAGCATTGCATAATATAAGTGCTACTACTACTAAATTCAAACCAAATTGCAAATTTCGACACGTTATAATGCCGTTTCCTGACTATCATATTTCTGTCAAATCTTCCCCCAAGGTCCAGGAAATGGAGTTTCAGAGACTCTAAATTCAAAAATTTTCCTGGGGGGCATGCCCCCGGACCCCCCTAGACAAACCTCGCACCTGCGGCGCTCGGCTCGTGCCTTCGGCCCTCGTTTATCAAGTGAAACATTATAGGGGCGCACATTTGTTGACTGCCCACTGCCCCCCCCCCCAGAAAAATAGTACCCAGCACGCCACTGGTACTGTATTTCAGAATATTTTGTAGTTGTTATAGTAAGGATGTCCGTTTTCAAAGCTAGCATTAAAAAGCACCATCGAGTCCTTGGACAAGTGCTATTGCCTTGGAGGTCTTTGTGTTTTACCGAATTTCACGAAAAACCAACCGATCACGGACTAATAATAATATTCCTAAAAATGTTCGAGACAATTGCAGTTTGAACTTACGTTCATATCCAACGGTTTGAGATCACTGAAAATTTAGCGACTTAATTTAAATGCCTTTCGAACACCGGCTCCAGGTAGTCAAGAATTAGTTAAGCATGTTAAATTATACAATCAACCCCACCTCCTACTCTGGTTTGTAATATTTGCGCTTTAAATGCTATTTTACTTTTACATAAGAACATAAATTTTCGCATTGCGTGACAGCTATAATGTTAGGCCAACAGGCGCATTCATATAGTTTCCAATGCATGATTCATGTTTTCGTGCCAAACTTGGAAAATTCTTTATCGTTTCATTAAAAAGAATATATAAATTATTACCGCGAGGAAACTGAAAACTGAGTTGTTCGTTATTCCATACTGTTTTGTGAGAACAAAATGACTATATTACTTCAAATAGTCGTTGCTTTATCGGACAATTAAATTGGATCTGGATGAAATAGAAAGAATTTAAAATACGACATTAACAGGCTGAATTAATATTCCATTAACGAATGTGATCATCAATAGATATTGATGCAGGTGTCACTATAGTAACTCCGCAGGCATAGCTCCTGTTACCTGAGTGTTCAGTTTGGAAAAGACGGTGCACATAACGCATACAAATTGGCTAATTTTTCTCCCTTTCAAAAAAAAAATGTAAAGTTTTCTTAAAAAAACTTTCACTATACCAGAATATGTTTTCCTGTTCTTACTACTTGTTCCTGTCAAATTGCAAGGAGACTCTTGCACGGAGTTTGGTCATGTGGTAATGCCCTTTCGTTTGCTATACAAAAGTAAGTATAACAATTCAGTCGCACTAAACCATTAACTGGCACTCAAAAATGATCAAAATTTGTGACATGGAAATTGCATGTATCTTAGCTAGAATAGTATAAAATTCAAATTCTATACTAATTCCAGTATCATGCTATAGATA